AAGCAGAATTAATCGAAGGAGAACAACCATTTTCCATCGATAGAAAAGCCGAATCAGCTAGGGAAACAATGGTTTGTCGAAACACACATAACGTGTTACAAAGGTATGGAGAAGAAGATTCGTTTAAGCATTTGTCGGACAAACATAAAGTAGCGGGCGTCCAAATTGGTATCGCCACAAATGTGAGAACAACCAAAATAATTACAGACACACAAGAAGTGCTAGAAAAGTGGAGCAAAAAAAAAAAACAGATTGGAAATAAAACAAGTGCCGAACGTGAAGCATATAAAAAAAGCATCTGTATGAATGTTCCTGTAAGAAAAAAAAAACTGTTCATAGCCAAAATTATGGATGCGTATCTTGGCTTTGGTGGTCGAAGAATGTGAAATCGAAAAATAACCTTCATGACACAGCATTATATGTAGATCGTCTAATTACGAAAATTTTTGACCAATGCATGAGCGCGTTGGTGCGGTTGTGATAGGTATTAGCGTAATAGGCGGTGGTGTTGTTCCAACAAAAAATATGGTCACATCACATGCTGTCTCAAAGAATGATGCAACTAGCATAACAGGTTGTGTGTAGCAACAATTCATGTCGTGACAGGTGTTGTCGTAAGAACAAAAAATGAAACTCATATTTTTAGCATGCATATTTATGATGCCGAAACAGGTGCTTCCATGATGGATATTGGGGCGTTTTCGTGACAAATACATATGATGCGGGGAAATATATACAAATGAAAGAGCAAAATTTTGTACAGGCAACGGCGCAAAGAATTTCGAGCGCAGAAATTGTTGTCAGGAATAAACATCTTTCTCTAACAACAAGTGCACATTCTGTGTATTACTTCCTACAAATTAGCATTTGCCAGTACTTAATATTGTTCATGCAGCAACACGAAGCAGTTGTTGACACCACAACATTCTGTGTGCAAACACGCATTCGATTTGCTAATTCACAATATTTCACAATGCACAACGTGGCATAAGCACATGTTAAACATATTATCTCTTTTCCCAGTGTTTGCGCGCATCATTCCCTTTATATAAGTTCTAATGGAGCTTATAATTTAATGAATCTATATATGCATTATTTTATGGTTTAGTGTAGGTATTTATATTTACCTATTCACATTGCCACTCACATGTCTACATATTATTGCCACTTGCTATAAAACCTGAGCACAACCAGTATATTTTCCATTGATCTCCATTTATTTCCAAGACTCTTTAGGCTGGCACATATTTCCAATATATCCTATATTCCTGTCAGATTCTATAAAACATGAGCACAAGCAGCACATTGTCCATTGATCTCTATTTAATTCGAAGACTTCTTCAGCTGGAACGCATTTCCAATATATCCTATATAAATGTCAGAAATTGCAATAATCTGTAGGAATGTCATTCGAGCGCACCACATATTTCATGTCATCCTCTCGCATGTAACAATTGTTCATACAGGGGATACTGAAAATGTAATAAAAACACGGACAAACCCCTTTTTGTGTATGTTATATGCACCAAAACAATACATTAAACATCTTCTTTTGATGCTTTACGCTAAGCAGCGTCGGTGACATTATGTTCTTATGGAGTAAAAAAAAAATAAAAGAACAGTGTGCTGTTCTATAAAAATACTCGTTGTACGAGGTGACGATGGGTAGAAATGACACACATATTGCACATATAGAATGCAAAAGCAGTATGAATACACATATATAGAATAGAGAAGGATTTATTTCCCTGCTCCTTCAAATAGGTCTTCTACCCATAATATGCATCAAATAGTTGACCATGAACCTAAACAAATAAGCACACCCCGTTTATAAAAAAAAAAAGCAACGAATAGTATCATTATTCAAAATATATTGTAACATAAAATACAATAATATAAATAGATCATTATGAGAAATATAATACAACAAATTATAAAAAAAGGAACCCCAATACATATATGTAAGCCTAATAAACCATGAACAGCGCGCACTAAGAAGGAATAAGTGCGTTACTCTAAATGTCCCTTTATCTTCTATGTTTGCGCTTCGTTGTTCAGACAGTTCCGTATTCTCAAATACTATCTAATATATTTCTTCGGTTTCCGCGGGTGGTTCATTCTCCATATGATGTAAACATACGTAGATGCTATGAATATCGCAATTACCACAATAACTACTACTACTACGAGATTGCCGACGGTGCCAGATGTAGTTGACCGTATCGCAGCCAAACAAACTGGAAAAGTTGCATGGAGTGCCTTGCCAGGTATATAATTAATAGTACAATCAACTTTATGATCAGCAATAGCGCTGTCAACAAGATATTTTGACGTAGCCATACTTGCGCCAGCAGAGCCCAGAATGAATATACAGCCAACCAACATGATCAATGCAAAGGCTATCCATGTGTCCCTTTTCATCCTAAAACGTGCTAATTTCCTCAAACATCGTACGAGCCTGGTGCGCATATTCTTGTTTTGATCTTTATTTTTAGTATATTGGGGCTTTGTTAATTCAAACATGGAATCACATTTCTCAGACTTGTCATGCATCAAGGTATTTTGAGATGAACTTGAAGTGAGATCATCGAAGACTGTATAGCGTGCTCGGGTTTCCATATTAGTTATACCAGTGAATGGTACGCTAACGCGTCCATTCCAGTTACCATACTGGCTGTTTCCCTTAGCACACGATGAGCCTATTGTACTCGCCTAACGTAAATATAAAGAAGGGGAATACATGCGAGTGTTATGGTGTATGCATAGAAGGGTGCAGGGCGTAAAAAAAAAAAATTACAGGCAGGTTTATAGTTGTTAGGAACGAGTTAATGGTTTATCACAATATATATGGTAACTCCCCCAAAATACAGTTGTTACTATCATACACCGTCAGCAAATTGCCATAAGCAATGGACTAGTATAAATATAGAGAGTTTCACAAGCAACATCCTTCTGTTCCTTTTTTTGCTTCCTTTTTGTTTCAGAGTAAATGAGGTTCCTAAGAAATATATATAAATATCTTTTTACTTAAAAGGATGGGATTATATGCTTCCTTTTAATTATATTTGTGTTGACACTACATTGCTATTCTTTTGCTGGTGCATTCCAGGATTATACGATTGTTTCGTGTTACCTATATATACATGTATGATTGTTTCTTATTTTTTTTTCTTTTTTTCCCTTTTTACGATGCCCAAAGATGATTGGATGTTTGCTTTGCCTTTGTTCCTTTTTATGTTACATAGGCATCACTTCTGTGACTACTTTTTTTCCTTTTTTTTTTCACAAATAATGCGCACTATTGAATTATTTTTTACTTTTTTCTAACATATATTTATTATTATTATTTTTGTTTCCCTCTTTTTTTTTTTAATATATGCGCACATTTATAGCATTATTATTTTTTACTTTTTTTCTGTTTTTCGCTTTGTTGTTTTTCGTTTTTTCCTATACGTGTGGATCTTATATGTGCACCTACCATATTTTTTTCCTTTTTTGTGCATGTATGCACCTTATTATCCCTTTTTTTTTTTTTTTTTTTTTCGTTTTTTCTTACATGAACAAGTGTCGGGCTTGTTTGTATTGTATTCCTATTTTCACTTTTTCCCTTTTTTTATATGTAATTTTATAGCTATTTCCTTCCTTATATACTTCTAAACAACAAAAAAGGGACATGTAGGATCTATTCTTACCTGTTGCCGACAAATGTTTCTGTTTGTTCCTTCAGTTTAAAATGAAGCACATTCTAAGTTTGCATTTTGCCCTGTGCACGACATTTATCTTGTATTTTTTCTAGTTTATAACATGTTATCATATAATATAAATGAAAAATATGATTTAAGTTGTATATAACTGTGCACAAATAACAGTAGGACGGTTAAAAATACAGATACACCGTGGCAAATACAAAAAAAAAAAAGTGGCGTTGTGCATTATGTTACGGATTTAAAGGATGTTTTGTGGAACGGGCGCGTTTAATGAGTCCTTTGTGCATGACATAGGGCGGTGTATTTATTCTTCACTACATCAACAAATAAGGGTGTCGCACACCTTCCCCGCTGGAGAGCATGGATGAGAATGATGTATATTGTAGAAACGTAAATGTTCCCATGGGTGCCTTAGTATTTTAATTTCTCTAATTTGATGTATTACAATATGTAGGAAGGGTGCATGCAGGCGGGACTATCCCTAAATCGGCATTGTATGGCCTTCCGGGTTTGTGCATATGCACGGGAAAGTAGCCGTATACGAAAGTGGGCATATATAACATAGATGTGGAAAGGAAGGGCGACCGCGGGTAGCGAAGTGGGGCAGCGAAGCCGTGCAGTTGCGCACCGCTGTTCGCTGTTGTCGCCGCGTGTGTTGTTGTGGCATCGTTGCGTTGTTGTGCCCCCTGTGCGTGGTTGTGGCTATGCGTGCTGTTGTGGTGGCGGCATCCGTGCGTAGTCATATCGGTATCTTGCGGGCCGAGCTGGTCGTATTCGGCCGTATATTCGTATTGTTACGGGTCATATTCGTACCAGCCTATATGGGTATTTTTACTATCTGTTTTCTTACCTTTTTGTCCTGTTTTCCCTCATCCTTCTTCTTGTTTTCGTCTTGCCGTCCTGCATCTACTGTTTTTGTCGTATTCTCTGGTTTGGCTGGGGCGGGTTTGGGGGCGGTCGCCCCTATCGTTTCCATCAGTGTGTTCCATTCATCACCCCCGGTCCCTTTTTCCTTAAGTTCTTTCATTATCTTTTTCCGTTTCTCTTGTTCAATCTTGTCACCCCTACGAATCATGTCCCTTACATCATCAGCAGTATTATCCTTAAACATTTTAACTATGGGCTCCTCGCTACCCTCTTGCTCCCTATCCTTGCTTTTATTACTGTGACTTCCTATATCACAGGAACTGTCCACTCCGCGTCCACTTATATTTCCTCCATGCTGTCTTCCCCATGCACGTATCCAACCTCCCATGGTTTTTCCAAAAAATTTTGAGCTTATTTTTAATGTATCATAATCGAGCCTAGCACATTCTTGCTCTTTCCCTATATTGCCCTGCTCCTCACCCCAGATGCGCACTTTATGAATTATCTTTCGTACAGTCTCTTTTGTTTTGCAGCTGCCGCTGTACAATCTTATTGCAGCAACATTTCCCACCATACATCTTAAATAGTCCCACAGAGCGCCGTCCTGCCCAGAATCTTTCTTTACTTCCATTTGTCCTTCCCGGAAACTTATTCTTTCTGCAAAAAAAATTATTCTTATAATGTGCTTGCATATACGCTCTACCATCATCTTCTGTACCTTCGTTTCCTCCTCCTCAGCCATTATTTTACATAGTCCATCCATTACTGCATCCCTCTTTACCAATGCCTCCTCTAGCTCGCTGAATATCCCTTCGATATCTTCCCATATTCCTTTCTGCAGCAGAGGAAAATTATATGTGTACCTGTCTATCTTCCTTTACTTCCACAATTTTTTATATTTTCCCTGCATAACACCATAACTCATATTTGTCATAAATTGCCCTCGTCTTTGTTCTGTGTCCATTTTCCTCTCTCTTTCCTATTCATTTTACCGCCGTATTAAATTACCTCATATGTTCCATCCGGTCCCCACATGTGCCTCCTGCGTGCATAATCTGCTAAGAGATCCCCTAATTTTTCTGCCATCTTCCCTTTATTATTATAAATCTATATTTAAGTCCTACTGTACATAGTACACTGCTTAAAACTGGCTATATTCCTCCGTAGATGTCCTGTGTTTCTGTTAGTACATTAACTGTGCACACTAACAAAACATATCCTGAACTAAGCCCTCCAGAATAACACTATTGTTTCATTAGAGATAGGGAAAGAGGAAGGAAAAAAAAAA